CCCCAAAACCCCAAAACCCCAAAACCCCATATTAATAAAATTTTATTGATTATTCATAATAAATTATGTCAAAACTTATAAGAAAGCCTAGGTTAAAGGGAAATATCGTAGAAAAGTTAAATGTTAGTAATTTTAATGATTTCGCAGCAACTTCTAGTTCTCATTGGCCAGAAGTCAGATGCTGGGGAAATACTAAAGAATTAAGTTCAGAATTTGATAGTTCAGAAATTAATGCAATAAAGTGTATAAAATTGTCTACCAATAAATTGGTACAGCTTGTTGTATTTCTTATGCTCTGGAGTCAAACCCAAGCTTTTTATCCAAGTAAATGAGGAAATGGATACTTTGGAGAAAGCGAAAATTGAGTCCCTTGAAATAGTTCCTGCAAAACCTGATTAGATGTTACCAGTTGAGAAAGTTGAGAAGATTTTATGCAGTATAATGAAGAAACTGGATTATGAGAATCGTGTGGTGAAGATGAATATTATGACCCAATCAGAGATAGCTGCTTATCCTGAATCGGTGTTTGAACTCATCAGTGAAGATTTCAAGCATCTTGCTTTGAATGCTCTTCTGATAAATTTTTTGATATTGAAGCTTTAAAATGTGTTGACTCATGAGACTCAGATAAGATAATTGTGAAATCTAATCGAATGAATATTAACAAAGTATGAAAGATGCTAAGCATCTATGTTGACCCTGAAAGTCAGAAGCCTATTGAGCTAGGCACTCTGGAATACCCCTATCGAACTTTCAAATCAGCTGCAGCTGAAATATTAAACCATTATAGTAACACCCAGGCTGAAGTTACAATATTTATGAAAGATGGTTTTATTGAGATGGATGATTTCTATTTTATCAATATGACGAATGTGAAAATTACAGCTCATCCTGAATTCAAAGCATTGAGAAGAAGAGCACAAATTTCTTTCACTAGCCAACCTCAGCATGGAGTATCTGGGAGAGCGCGTTTCCATCTTTTAAAGGATACTTCCATAAATTACCATGAAGTGATAATGAATGAGGAAATTGGAGAAAGAGAGGCATCTGAACTCTTAAAAGATAAAGTTGGAATCTTTGTTGTCAGAACTAGCTTGGAGATCTCTGAGATTGAATTTCATAGCAATGAGTTAAAATATTTCTCAGTGATCATTAATCTCCAAGACAAAGGCATCAAACTATGTAAGTTTCTTAAGAACAATAGATCCAAGGAAGATAAATTATTCTCCTAATAAAAGAATTCTTAGAGTAAAAACTTAGTTATACTAACCATTGGCATAATCAGTCTTCAATTTCTAACATTTTCACATCCGAACAGTCATATTTGAGTAAGCTAAATACTCTTAAAACTCGCTCAAAATACATAGCACTCTATTAAAAAAGGCTTACATATCGTCACTAGTTAATAAAGATATCTTAAATCTAGTTAATATATGATCATTTCCTCATAAAAATATTTCTAAATTGAAGCAGCCTTACTGTTGTTAATCATTATAAGTTTAATTTTCAAATCTTAATTACACAAATTTACTAACACCACCTTCTCTTTAAGCACTTTCCTTGAAATATGTAACTCATATTTATAGGCATAAATCTAGAATTAGCTAATATTGAGGGTTTTAGCCAGCATATATGCTGTTTGTGAGTTTGTGTCTCTCTAAAGGATCTTAAAACTAGTCAAAAGTATGAAAATTTACTTTCTACCCTAGTTTTATGACCCTTCAAGAAGACAATAAGATCTAAAATTACAAATATGAAGTCTTATACGTTCAATATTTGTTGTATTTTGTGTAAATATTTCAACGAAAATTTATCATGAGAACTTCATTGTTTCAATATGAAAATTTTGTTAAATAACAATATCTCCCTCTTCTACAAATTCAGTTTTATTTCTTACCATGTCAAGAAAATATTGAGTTTCATAACTTTAAAAGGCTTCAAAACTTCTTGTTTAATAATTCTTCTTTAGATGAAATGGATTTCAATGTAACAGGTTCTTCCCTTACCAGCCAAGACCCAATGAATGTATATCTTGAGAACATCACTGTGGATATCTCGAGGCAAGGGATTTTCTTTTATCCGTTAAATGTGTTCTGAAACTATCCAGAAGCGTTCACACATAATATTGTCTATGTGAAAAATGTGACTCCTCTGATTTCTCTCAAAAAACCAGTTTATGATTTCAGCTTATTAAATTCTGCTCTTCCTGGGAACCACACCATGATTGATATTGATTGTGGAGGAGTTCCTGTTAACCTCCAAATTGATATTTGTATTGTTGTTAGCTTTAGACCAACTTGAATTCCTGACGATGGAATACTCCAAACTATTGACTATGATTCCATACATACGGATGGGAGACCACAAGATGCTGGAGTTGGAAATTTGTTAATTTTGCCAGTTATCACTAATGCAGCTCCTTATCGGCCAGTTCATATAAATATGACGAATTTTGATTTCATCAATATTATTCAAAATTGGGACTATGGATTGTTCTATTTATACACTTCCGGAGCTGAAACGGCTGAAATGACTAATGTAAAAATATACAATGTCTCATGCAGCTTGTTTTTTGCAGAATTTTTGGTTATTAAGGATTTAAAAATTAAGAACCTTACTTTTGAGAATAGTTTGGACCATCAAGGTGAAATACTCAAAATTACTGCAAGTGGAAACATTGAACTTGAAAACATTGCTTTAAGAAATTATAGTAGTCATGGGGTGTCTAATCCTCCAATATTTTCTACTCTATTTCCTAGCACAACTTCAATGACTATGAGAGATTTCAGCTTCGAAGATATTGAAATAGTTTCTGCATCGTTATTTCATTTAAATTCTCCACCAGCCATGATGACAGTAAACAATTTCATGTTTAAGAATTGTAAAACACCAGATGATCAATCTTTGTTAAGCTTCGATTACATAAATTCAATTACAGTTTCTAATATTACACTGGAAAATGTGAACCCTATGAGTTCTTCTGGACAAACAGAGAAGATTATAAGAATTGGTTCTCTAAACTATGAAGAAATGCATACTGCTGAATTTTCAGACATCACAATCTTGAGTTCTTCTCTTTCATTGTTTGGGATCGGAAGCCTTACAGCTTTATCAAGCTCAGAGAGATATATTTCATTTAATAATATAACATACTCTGGATGTAACATTCTGTCTACAAGATCATTGGTTTCGACTGATAGATTTACAGGAGATTTCAAATTGCAGATCCAGTTTAGTAAACTCAAATTTGTGGGGATAGAGTTTGCAATCGCTGGATCTTTAATAGAGCTAAAACACCAACTTCCTACCGTTGTAAAGTTTGAAGAATGCTTAATTTCTGGAGTCAATTCTGGGGTTATTAAAGCTGTAGGTCGGAAAATATCAAGTTCCCTTAACACGAAAGTCATATTTGTGAACTCTGCTTTCTCAAACATAACTCTTCTCATGAACCCATTTATCTCAACAAGACAGAATATGATTATTGAGATTGAGAATAGTTCATTCACTGGCTTTACGTCGATGAGTGTTATTGCAGGAATACTCAGAACATCTGATAAGTCTGTGGTTACAATTAAGAATACACAGTTCAAAAATAACTCAGCTATTGTATCATCAATTTTCAGAGCTGAAACTGAAGCAAGTATTATTTGAGATAATTGCAAAATCTCTAACAACTTCGGAGTCACAAATGGAGTTTTTGAAATCGAATCAGGAGGAGTGTTGAAAATATTTAATAGTGAAATTTTTGAGAACTATGCAATCCATTACGCAGTCGGTTCATTCTTGTCTGCTTTTACTCCCTCAATCATCAGCGAAACTCAAATTTATTCAAACGATGTAATATTTGAAAGCAATTTAACTGTAGAACTTACTTCTAGCTGCGTCAGACTCTGATTTTTGAATGATTTGATAAAAAGTTATCTTACAAATTTAAATTTTACGACCATTACTCAGACGGACACTCTGCTACAAGTGCTTTTAGCTGAGGTTCATATTGTGAACAATACACAAATATACAATACCACTTCCGTTGTATACAGTCTTTCTTCTGTTTTATTGGTAGAGAACTCTTTGATATTTGATATAAACTTTGTAAAATCTCCAATGAATCTGATTTCAACCGAGGCAACTCTAAGTAATCTAACAATAGCCAATTGATCGAAGTTGCAAACTCAAGACGACATTGCATTTATTCAAATAACATCTGGGACTTTGATATCTTCAAATTTAAAGTTATTCAATTCTAATTTCAAAGTTTCCCAATTATCATTCTCAAGTGGAACAATGACCAATACCCAATTGACAAATGTAGTGAATGATGAAGGCCTTATTAAATGCCTTAAATGCCAAAAATTTAAATTAGACACTCTGTTGTTAATAAATTCTTATTCGGTATCGAATCCTTTACTCAATCTTCAAGAGGCTCTTAATGTGGAGTTGATTAATATCAAACTCTCTGGATATCAATATAAGCTGGCACAGTTTTCATTCTCCAATATTACTTTGATACAAAACTTAGAGATCAGTGATGGAAAGCAGACTCTCGAGTTCATAGAGTCTAACCTTCTCAAGATGAACAACTCCAATTTCTCTGATAATAATGATGACACTGGCATAGGTAGAGGCGGAGCCATTCAGATTTTTAATAGCAAAATAAATATTGAAAACACAACATTCACAAACAACTCTGCATATTTTGGAGGAGCCATAACTTTTGAGTGCACAAGCATGGCTAACTGAGAATTAAATATTGAGAACTCCAAATTTTGGAATAATAGTGCCCAAGAGAGAGGAGGAGCAATCTACTATAATTACAACTATCCAAGAGTTAGAAACACTGAATTTATTGACAACAAAGCAGACTATGGCCCGAACTTTGCTAGTTATCCTGCAAAGATAGGGCTTGCAAATAGTTCTCTTGACGAAGATATTATTGTGAACAACATCGGATCAGGGATTAAGATTGATCAGATTTTAACTCTTGCACTTTTTGATATGGACAACCAAATAATGAACCTGGATAATTCAAGCCAGATCATCATCCTGCCAAGGAATGCATCTGAAGCCAGTATAAACGGATTCAATATAGTTTCAACAGAAAAGGGGATAGCTCAGTTTGACAACATTGCTTCTATTACAAACGGGAGAATTCTCACCTCAAACTTTACTTTAAGTTCAAAATCAATAAAAACTACCAAAGTTGAAGAGGTCTTAGGAGCTTCGTTCCGGCAGGATGACCTCCAAATCAATTTCAGAGATTGAAAGCCAGGGGAAATAGTTGTTGGAGACCAATGAAACGTATGAGCTGCAGGTACATACTCGCTCGATTGGAATGCTACTGAATGAGTAGATTGAGCCCTAGATGCTGATTGTCTCGGTGGCACCCAAATATCTGTGAGATCTGGATATTGGAGGAGGTTCCAAAATTCAAGCAAGATTGTTGAATGAATCTTTAAAGATGCTTGTATTGGAGGATTTATAGATGAAAACACTGATGATCAAACTTCGAAGTAAGTTAATCGAATGGATTATCAAAATTATCATTCTACATTCTCTATTTTAGGATATAGTATAAATAATATAATCAATAGATATCACTCTAGTTGTTTAAGATAGAAAGATCAATGTCAATGCAATCAACTTTTTAATAAACTAGCTGTTTTATTATCTGCTCTTTATTCTGTATTGAATTTCTGGCTTCCTATGATTAGAGAATAAATTTTGTAATGTTAATATACTTTGACCCTTAAGAGATATATTATTGTTGTATATAAATAGTAATTCTAAAAGCGACTGCACCAGATATCCTGATTCCTGTCATTGGTGTTGTTTGCCACAACTAGCATTTGCAGAATCTTCATAGCTTTATAATTACCATAGTCTACGAATAGAATCAAGTGTTTTAATGAATGCTATTCTTCGTCTTCATTATGTAAAATTTATTCTCAAAATAATGTTATCCAATAGTTCCAAGAGTAGCAACCCAGTAAAGTGTGCACAAGGATATCACGGCAACCTCTGTTCCCAATGAGTTGTAACTGGAGATGTAAAATATGAGAGAGTTAATGACTACGAATGACAGAAATGCCCAAATCAAATACTGAATTCCATCAAAGTTGTATTCACAATTCTTATTGTCTTACTATTTTTCATATTTATGGTAGTCATTAATGTGAGGAAAACTGATGAGAGCGAACTATCAATCCTTCTAAGAATTCTTACTAATTATATCCAGCTTATAACTGTGTGAATATCAATGACTAGTGATTACCCAGCTGGATTTCTTTCATTGGCGATTCCAATGAGATTATTTGGATCATCTACTGATTCTTTAATTTCATTTGACTGTTTTATTCAAGATTCAGAAATTAAATTTATTTTTGACTCTAATGCAATCTTTAAACTGTTCTTAATGATCTTTTTGCCAATAGCCTTGTTCATTACTATTGCTGTAATGTGGATCATAATTAAATTAATCAGGCCAGCTTGGTGCACAGACATGAAAAGAGCTCTTGCTATCTCTTTCATTACTATCATCTTTATCTTGCACCCAAAACTAACTGAGAAAAGCATAAGCATGTTCAAATGTATTGAAATTGATGAAGGATACAGTGTGGCAAGAATAGATACTAACATTGAATGATTCTCAACAACCCATTTGAAATGGTGACTAATAGTCGGAGCACCAATAATAATAGTTTGGGTCATTGCTTGACCCTTAATAGCATACATCGCTATTCACCACGAAAGAGGAAAGCAGAATAGTAAAACCATGGAATACTTCCTGATGATCTATCAAGGATTCAGGCCTCAAGTTCTATATTGGGAGTTTGTTAATACCCTCAGGAAAATTGCACTCTTACTGGTTCTTCTCTTCGAGCTCAAAGTAGCAATCAATTTGTCTTTGATAATACTTCTATTAACAGCTCGACTTCAAATCAAGGTGAAGCCTTACAAGAGTTTTGAGAACAACAAAATAGAGTTCTTATCTATAATGGGAGGTGTCACTTTGATAATGGGAGCTCTTGTGTATACTAGATATGAGCAACATAATGCTCTCAACACATTTGTATTCATCTCTATCATTGCCATAAATATTAAATTCCTGGCAGAATGGCTGCTAATATTAATGAAGCTGTATGAAGACAAGAATCATTTTGTCCGCACTGTAAATATTACCAGATTAATTCATATAGCTTGCGATTGTCCTCTCAAAGATTGTGTGAAAAGGAGTAATTTTTTAATAATCTTTATAGTCTCAAACTCGAGAAAGAAAAGAAGCTGAAACAAAATCTATTCCTAAAGTATGCAAATATTCTTATACTATAGACATCTGAAGTGAAAAAGCAAGAGAAAAATACAAAATCTACTGGTTTAAGGAAGAGTAAACTATTCTAACATTGCTTTTAATATTTATTAATAATTTGGCATTTCTATGTCATAAATTAGCTTTACATTACAATTCTCTTTATGCTACCCATACTTATTCTTATTCTACCTCAGCATGACTTATAAATCAAAAATCATAAATTATTTTCTTAGGAACCCTAGCAAAGTCCAAATCGATTAGGAAGAAAAGGAAGATTAAGAAAAGAAACCGTACAAAAGTGAAAAAGAATGCTCGTGAACACCTACCTCATTTTGAGTAAGGCCTTAGTTTATACTTTAGAAATGACGAACAAGGTATTGGACCTCTTACATGCTCTCCTTGAGTATTTTTAATCAATCAACTACCCAAATTATCGAAGGAGCAAATGGGAATGATCAGATTAGTATCCGCACAGTAGTGTATTATATCTGAGAAGTTAACCCAAAGAATACTGGTTGATTCTAATATTCCAAGAGCATATGTTAGGCTTTCTCCCTGACAAAGTCAATAAAGAGAATATAGCATTATAGTTGCATTCGTTTTGGTGTAGTACTAGGCATGTGTTTTAGACTAATAAAGCCTTTGTTTATTTTAATGAGGTCTAGTAGCATCTCTAGGTTTGATTAAATAAGAAATCTGATAAATTCTCAAAGTAAAAAGGGGAATATCTTTTGACCATTTTATTGTTACTCTAAAACTTTTACAACTTATCCTAGAAAATTTTGAGGTAGGATAACTGTTAGCCTGTTGAATAGCACATTATCTTATTAAATCCTGCTATAGAATAAAAATAATGTAGTTAGATTTGCTAACATTTGCCTAATGATTGTACTATATTGACTGCCACCCTCAAAGAAAAAATATAAAGCAAGCTAGAAAGAATAATGGGATTCTTGTTTTACTTTCTGTCTCGTAATGTTTAAAGACAAAGGTTTTTACACAATATAAATTAGAAGGAAATTCTAATGAACCTTATGAGCGGGATCCTTGAATCTAAAATATCTTGTTTTTAAAAATGAAAATAAATAATCAGATCCAGCTCTCAATAGAATAAGGAGGGGAAGGCTATTCAAAATATAATAAATTTTGAGAATATGTGTACAAATTCGCTAATAACCCAATTTTTATGAATAACATCCCCTAAAATATTTGATTCGATATCAAACACCGAATTTCAAAAGAGGAGTATTTAAGAAGGAAAATAGCAAAAAAGGCTTGAGAATTTGTATCCTCCTTTTATTTGCAAATATTTTTGAATAGAAGTCCATTATGTTAATAAATTAAAACAGACTTTTATCTGTGTATTCCAATTACTTTACCCTAACACTTGTACAGAGGAAAACAAGAGTGAGCTGAATTCTTCCAGTCCATACTGAAATTCCCAAATGTCCTTAATGAAAAACACATTTGTAATTTGAAATCTTATCTTTTAGATTCAGAGCTCTTTTGATCAAGTTGCTAATTTTCAAGCTCATTGTATCCCTGAGGTTATTGCAAATAATCGGGCAAGAAGATTAGACAAAAGTAAGCACTCTTTTTCTAAACACAAGATATTCCATCGATTTCTATAGCTATGACCCTGTGTATAAAATTTAAAACAAATTAACCTTCATCTAGACATCGCAGAGAACCCTGAGTCTGCTTGGAAGAAGAGGATAATCTAACTCATAATCCCTCTGAAGCAAAGGCACAAACAGGGAGGTCAAAACCAACTCTTCGGCTTGTCCCTCCAAACCCCTGTTTCTTACCTAATTTATTAATTTCCATTCAGTCAGCAACCACCGCCTTGGGGTTTTGGGGTTTTGGGGTTTTGGGGG